GGCTCTGAGCGGGACGGCCCCCGAAGCCCCTTTCCCCACGCTCTGCTCGGCGATTCTGTGCTCAGAACCAACAGCCTCAGCCTTGCACCCGCCAAGGAGCCACACCCGCAGCGTTGAGAGATATTAGTTGTTTAGCTGAAATAAGTAATTTTTAATTAGAATAAATTAGGGTTATAATATGGTGTGATTTATGCTGTTTGCTCAGCTTCACTCAGCATGAATAGCTTGATTTGCTGAAGCCTTTAGGCCGCAACAGAGTTAATTTTCTTAGTAATTTTCCTAGCAGCTGGTACAGCGCTGTGTTTAGTCTTTTGGTACAAGAAAAATGCGGATAACACACTCATGTTTTGGTAGTGTTTTCCCTAAGCCTGGGACTGTTCTGCCAGCCAGTGCAGGTGCACAAGAAGCATACACCAGCAGGTAAGGAAGTGACAACCCTCAGCAGAGACGGCAAGCCTGCGAGATCAGAGCAGCCAACGACCACCTGCCCCTGGACACAGAAAAAAACCAAACAAAGTGTTAGAAAGCCCCAGACCAAAAATCACCATTGGACTAAAAGGCACGTGAAGAGCGTATGTATAGACCACAATGGTCTAACTGCCCAGGGATTTCTTTGTTCGAGGTCCCTCCCTTCTTGGAGGCACGCAGCCCAGGCTGACCTGCTCTACCTTTCAATGAAATTATTTATTTTTATAAAATCTGACGCCTGAGACTCTGCTGTGGGAAACCTAGGGTCGAGCCTGAAGGAGGAGGGAGCATGCCCAGGAGTAAGTGCGCATGTGTGTGTGTGCACGTGGAAAGGGGCACCCGTCAGCTCACAGGGGTTGCCTGCTGTGAAGGGACCCCAGTCCTGGCAGTGACAGTCGGGTGGTGTGAGTGACCCCTGGGATGGCACGTGAATGCTCGTGCAGCACCTTCTCCTCTAACACCACCACCCCACCAGCCAGGGCTGGGAGTGCGTGAGAAGTTGGGGGGGGACAGAGCTGGGACAGCTGACCCCAACTGACCAAAGGGCTATTCCATACCATATGACGTCATGTTCAGTACCTAAAGCTGGGGAAGAAGGATGAAGGGGAGGGATGTTTGGAGTGATGGCATTTGTCTTCCCAAGTGACCGTTACACATGATGGAGCCCTGCTTCCCTGGAGATGGCTGAACACCGCCTACTGATGGGAAGCAGTGAATGAATTCCTCGTTTGGCTTTGCTTGCGTGCGCAGCTTTTGCTTTACCTATTAAACTGTCTCTATGTCAACCCACAAGTTTTCTCACTTTTAATCCGATTCTCTCCCCTGCCCCACTGAGGTGGAGGGAGTGAACAGCTGCATGATCTGAGTTGCCACATGGGGTTAAACCATGACACGGTCTCAGTCCACACTCCCCCCACCCCACAGCACTGGAGGAGAAAAGGCCCTGGTATTAATGCCTGGCAGCACTGCATGGCTCCTGCTGGGCACTCTGGATGGGATGGGCTTTGGAACCTCACCCTGCCCAACGGATGGCTTGAGCACACCACCGGCTCACTCACACACCTGGCCACTAATGAACACTCAAAGCATTTCTTTTCACTGAACAACTCACTCCATGCCACGGGACGTTGTATCCTGAACCTGCTGGACTGCTTCCACCCCCACCCCACCTGTGGAAGACCCAGACTGTCAGACTACCGAAAACCCATCAAGGGGCTCAGGACACAGGAGGCAGCCAAGAGTCGTCGTGTCCCACAAGGTCTTGTTGGCGGGTGGGGAACTGCCCTGACACAGCCCTCCCCCCACCCTGGCTGTTTTTGGAACCACTAAAATAAAAAAAGGTACCACTCTTGTCAGGCCACACCTGGAATACAGTGTGCAGTTTTGGTCCCCACTACACAAAACAGATGTGGACATGCTGGGGAGGGTCCAGAGAAGGGCCACTAAGATGATCCAAAGACTGGGAAGCCGGCTGTATGAGGAAAGGCTGAGAGAATTGCGTTTGTTAAGCCTCAAGAAAAGAAGGCTCAGGCAAGACCTTATCACCATGTTTCAGTATTTAAAGGGTGGCTACCAAGAAGATGGAGACTGCATTTTTTACAAGGAGTCACACAGAAAAGACATCAGCTAAGGGGTACAAGTTACTCCTGGGGAGATTCTGACTGGACACAAGAGGACAATTTTTCACCATGAGAACAATCAGCCATTGGAATAATCTCCCCAGGGAACCCTGCGGTGAATTCCCCAACACTGGATGCTTTTAAGATTGAGCCAGACAGACAGGGTGCTGGGCCACCTTGTCTAGGCCGTGCTTTTGCCGAGAAGGTCGGACCAGATGGTCCTTGAGTCCTTTCTGACCTGGGATTCTATTTCTATGCAACCCCTCCGCAGCCCCCCCGCCGTCCCGCAGCTCTGTACCGTGTAC